CTACTAGTAATAATAATAATAATAATAATAATAATAATAATAATAATAATAATAATAATAATAATAATAATAACAATACTACTACTACTAGTAATAATAATAATAATAATAATAATAATAATAATAATAATAATAATAATAATAATAACAATACTACTACTACTAGTAATAATAATAATAATAATAATAATAATAATAATAATAATAACAATACTACTACTAGTAATAATAATAATAATAATAATAATAATAATAATAATAATAATAATAATAATAATAACAATACTACTACTACTAGTAATAATAATAATAATAACAATAACAAAAATAACAACAATGATGATAATAATAATAATAATAATAATAATAATAATAATAATAATAATAATAATGATAATAATAATAATAATAACAATAATAACAATAATAACAATAATAATAATAATAATAATAATAATAATAATAACAACAACAACATCGACAACAACATAATAATGAGTGATGATAATAATTATGGTAATAATATCAACAACAACAACAATAATAATGATAATGATGATAATTATACCAATAATAGTTATGATAATAATTACTAAAGCAATAATAATATTAATAACAATAATAACAATCATCACCATCATCATAAAAAAGAAATAAAAAGAAAGAGACGAAGAAGGGAAAGGGAAATATAGAAGACACATAAAATACAGAAAAAGAAGAAAGCAACGGAGACGGAAGGGACGAAAAAGTCAAAGGAAAACGAAGATGACGAACGAAGACAAAACCAAAGGATGACGAAGGAAAATGTAGAAAACAAAGGAAAACGAAGTAGAAAGGAAGATGAAGACGAAAAAAGACAAAGAAGTCAAAGGAATGCAAAGAAGACGAATGAAGACGTACAAAAACGGAAGGAAAGAAGACAGAGAAGACAAAAGCAGACGTAGAAGATGAAGGAAGATAAAAAAAAACATAGAAGATAAAGGAAGACGTAGAAGATGAAGGAAAACAAAGAAATCAAAGGGAGATTAAGGAAGACGAAAAGGCAAAGGAAGATGAAGGAAGAGCCAGAAGTCATAGAAAACGAAGGAAGGCAAAGAAGACGAAAAAGGAGGAAGCAGGAAAAAGAAGAGAGAGGAAGACGAATGAATACAAAGGAAAACGAAGAGAGAGGAAGACGAATGAACACAAAGGAAAACGAAGAATACGAAGAAGACAAAGTAACACCGAAAAAGATGAAGAAATAGACAAAGGGAAACGAAGAATAAGACAAAGGAAGACGAAGAAGACAAAGGAAAACGAAGACAAAGGGAAATGAAGAAGACAAAGGGAAACGAAGAAGAAGACAAAGAAAGACCGAAAAAGAGAGGAAAACGAAGAAGACAAAGAAAGGGCGAAGAAGAGAAAGGATGACCGAAGAAGAAAGGAAAACGAAGAAGACAAAGGAAGACCGAAGAAGACAAAGGAAAATGAAGAAGACAAAGGAAGACCGAAGAAGACAAAAGAAAAAGAAGAAAACGACAGAGGGAGACCGAAGAAGACAAAAGAAAAAGAAGAAAACGACAGAGGGAGACCGAAGAAGACAAAGGCAAAACGAAGAAGGCGACAAGGGAAGAGCGAAGAAGACAAAGGAAGACCGAAGAAAAAGAAGAAAACGACAAAGGAAGACCGAAGAAGACAAAAGAAAAAGAAGAAAACGACAGAGGAAGACCGAAGAAGACAAAGGCAAAACGAAGAAGGCGACAAGGGAAGAGCGAAGCAGGCCGGACGAGGGGAAGGTTTCAGCGAGGGAAGAGGGCGAGGGATGTAGCGTGACCGGGGGGGGGGGGGGGGGGTTAACATGCCAAAAATATACTTAGTGTAATCTGATTAATACGTTAGGAGGGGGAGACGCACACGGGGATAAAGAAGGTGGGAGAGAGAGGGAGGAAAGGTAAGAGGGAGAGGGAGAGCGAAAGAGGGAGGAAAGGTAAGAGGGAGAGAGAGAGAGCGAAAGAGGGAGGAAAGGTAAGAGGGAGAGAGAGAGAGAGCGAAAGAGGGTGGGGGTGAAGGTGAGAGTGTGCGGGAGGGGGGAGGGGGGAGGGGGAGGGGAAGAGAGGGGAAGAGAGAGGGAGAGAGGGAGGAAGAGAAGTAAGGGAGATAAGGAGCTAGGAAGAGGGAGAGGGAATGAGTGAGTGAGTGAGTGAGTGAGAGAGAGAAAAAAGAGAAAGAGAGAGAGAGAGAGAGAGAGAGAGAGAGAGAGAGAGAGAGAGAGAGAGAGAGAGAGAGAGAGGAGAGAGAGAGAGAGAGAGAGAGAGAGAGAGAGAGAGAGAGAGAGAGAGAGAGAGAGAGAGAGAGAGAGAGAGAGAGAGAGAGAGAGAGAGAGAGAGAGAGAGAGAGAGAGAGAGAGAGAGAGAGAGAGAGAGAGAGAAACACAGACAGACACAAAATAAGTAAGGCAGAGCAGAGCAGAGCAGACAGCCAGCCAGCCAGACAGACAACCAGACAGACAGACAGACACAAAAAAAAAAAAAAAACGAAACTTTGCACCAGCCATTCCCACAGGATGAACACGCGCAAGACTGCATGATGAGGGAAAGGTAAGGATCTACCGAGTGGGGATCGGGTTGCTCACCTGGAGGGACACGAATAGAGGGATTAAAATGAAGGTGGGAAGGAGGAGGAGGAGGAGGAGGAGGAGGAGGAGGAGGAGGAGGGGAGAGGAGGGAGAGGGAGGAGGAGGAGGAGGAGGAGGCGGAGAGAGAAAGAATGCATGACGGAAAGAGAGGAAGGGGAGAGGGAGAGGGATAGGGATAGGGAAGGCTTGGAGGGAAGGAAAAGCGGAAGAGGGAAGGGGAGAAGGGAAGGTAGAGGGAGATATTAGGGACGGGGAAGAAGACAAGGGAGAGAAGGGAGATGGAGGGTGAGGGTGAGGGTGAGGGAGGGATGGGGAAGAGGGGGAAGGGGGGAGGGAGGGAGGGAGGGAGGGAGGGAGGGAGGGAGGGAGGGAGGAGAGAGAGAGAGAGAGAGAGAGAGAGAGAGAGAGAGAGAGAGAGAGAGAGAGAGAGAGAGAGAGAGAGAGAGAGAGAGAGAGAGAAAACAACGAAGACACCTACACTAAACGAAAGAGGGGAACCAAATGGACATGCAGATGGAAACAGATGCACCGGTGCGTTTAAGAGAAGGAGATAGGACGGACGCAGAGAAAGGGAAAACTAAAGAAGGACGAGACTGAACAACACAAAATGATTAAGGGGCATAATAACAAACAGATAAACGAATAGGATAAGAATAACAGAAGTAAGTTTAAGGAACGCGTGACACGAAATCAATACAAGCATGGAGAAGGATGAATCATTATCAAGTAGAATAGGAAAATATTTCGAGCGGGAGAACCGAAATATTCATGATAAGATGATAAGAGAGAGAGAGAGAGATGGAGATGGAGAGAGAGAGAGAGAGGAGAGGGAGAGGAGAGAGAGAGAGAGAGAGAGAGAGAAGAGAGAGATGGAGAGAGAGAGAGAGAGAGAGAGAGAGAGAGAGAGAGAGAGAGAGAGAGAGAGAGAGAGAGAGAGAGAGAGATGGGGGGGAGGGAGAATGAGAGGGAGAGGGAGAGAGATAAAAGAGAAGAGAAAAGAGTGAGAGAGGGAGAGAGGGAGAGAGGGAGGGAGGGAGGGAGGGAGGGAGGGAGGGGGAGGGAGGGGGAGAGGAGAGGGAGAGGGAGGGAGGGAGGGAGGGAGGGAGAGAGAGAGAGAGAGAGAGAGAGAGAGAGAGAGAGAGAGAGAGAGAGAGAGAGAGAGAGAGAGAGAGAGAGACAGAGAGAGAGAGAGACAGAGAGAGAGAGAGAGAGACAGAGAGAGAGAGACAGAGAGAGAGAGACAGAGAGAGAGAGACAGAGAGAGAGAGACAGAGAGAGAGAGACAGAGAGAGAGAGAGAGAGAGAGAGAGAGAGAGAGAGAGAGAGAGAGAGAGAGAGAGAGAGAGAGAGAGAGAGAGAGAGAGAGAGAGAGAGAGAGAGAGAGAGAGAGCTGATGAAAGGAACGAGCAAAAAGAGGGAAGAGGAGAGGACACTGGATGGTGTAAGAGACAAGAAAGGAGAGAAGAGGGTGAATAGAAGTAGGGAAAGAGGGAGGAGAGGAGGGTAGAGATCAGCAGAACAAAGTTGTATGAAGGAGAGATATCTGAAGGGTTAAACGGACAGAGGGAAGAAAGGTGGGTCAAAGGCAATAGAATAAGGAGAGAGAAAAGAGGGAAGGAGAGGCAAGCAGAGCGGAGGCGAGAAATAAACGTGGAGGAAGAGTAGGCGAATCGAAGAAGACAAATCAAGGTGTTTTTTCGTAAACATATAAAGTAACTCGATATGTCGAATTAAAAGGATACCCAAAATATAAAATCCCAATCGAAAATGTTCACAAAAGCCGGAAATAATGATAATAAAGGATAAAACACGATGGAAAGTGAGCAGGGGAGTGGAAGATGGCGAGCGCTGTCCAAACGGAATCTTGCAGCTCGTGACGTGTATCAACCACGTCCTTTCGTCTCTCCCTCATCGGATATAACTCAGGACTGATGTCTTAAGCGCCCCTTCCGCATCCCCTCCTCCGGTTCTCCTCGCCCCTGCAACGTCCGCGCATGACACCAACATCTTCCGACATCAACGCGTTTTCCTTGTGACCGGGCCTCTTACTGCGCCTCATTTTGCACACCGTCGGGCTGGTCAACGCGGATTCCCCGATGGGTCGTCGCTACTCCGTCGTGTTAACTTCCCTGACGACGGAGGGCCTCAAGGCGCCCCTCCTCACACTCCCCCCGCCCCACCAACAAGTTTTGAGAGGCGCAACTATCGCGACTCAGCATGTATGGCCACATTGGTTACTCTCCCCCTCTCTGTTCACAGCGCGACACCCTAAACAAAGTACCGAAACGTCGAGGGAAAGTAAAAGACGGCAGAGCTTCCCCACAACGACCGGACTACAAGCAGAGACTGCACGTAACCCACTGCCACTCCCACTGTTCATACGTACAGCCCGTGTGCGTGGTGACCCGTTCTCCCGTGCGCTCTCCTGCCCGCCGTGCGTCCACCACCAACACTACTACTACGCTCTGGTCCGTCGGGGCATCGAAACGGCTGCCAGAACGGAGGGTTCAGCTAACGTCATTATTAGCTATTGATTGACCACTTGTCACGCGGTGATTAGTGATTTTCAGTTTCAGTCGATTTCATGTGCATCGTAAAATCATGTGGGTTTTGATGTTATACATGTCACTCTGAAATAGAAGCATAAACATCAATGGAAAGCAAATCTGTTAGTTCCCGTGATTATGCTGCTTGGCAACATGTTGAGCTCGGGTGTCATAGAGTTTGCAAGTGTTTCCAAAATGCTTGCGCAGGCAGGGAGGTGGATTTTATGCTTTCTATCACGTAGTCCTTATTTTTACGGCCCTTTCTAACGTTCACCACCGCAGATAATAACGATGAACGCGAATGAAAGATTTGAAAGAAGATAAAGCACCAGTTGTGTGAAACCTCCCGAGGAATGCGATAAGCGAAAGCAACTGAATGCAGACGTAAACCAATGCAAAGATTTCTCTAATCAAGGAAGCCTTAGCATGCAGGAATGAGTTTCTGCTGCGAGAATAATTTCAGATATCTTCGTGTTCAGTCGGAAGCATTGCTCACTCCCACCTCGTGCTACTGTGCGGGCTTTTGCAAAATTGTTAATAATGCATTCTGAATAAAATCTTCGGCGAGAATGAAACTTGCGAATCAAATTATCTTCAAAGCAAATATTATTGCATGACATTGCCGCTGATGCAACTACCTTAATGGAATGAGACATGCAGTTCGCATTATGAAGAACGGACACAAAATATTTGCCTCACCAAGCGCTGCCCATTAGAACCATTGTAGAGTAATAATACAGCACATAATATGAGTATTTGTTGATGTGCGTTGCCATGGTGACGGGGAGTGCCGAGCGCTGGTCGACACTGTCTCAATGTCAGTTAAACGTTCATAACGGCATTAATCAGTGTTGTTAATACTACATACAACATAGATGTAAATAGCTACATACAAATATATAAGGTGGCAAAACTGATCAGCTGCGAGACACATAATAATCTAATCTTCGACAGCAATATAGAAATTCTATAGATATATACCTGTGAGGGGAAAAACGAATTTAATTACTTCCCAACAAAAGGCACTGCCCTAACCTTGCTAAATTGTTCCATCGTTTACACGCTATGATGGAAAATACATATTACACTTTTTATCGAATTCTCTGGGAAAAAGCGAAGCAAAAATATGAAGCGGTTGGTATGGTCGCATGAAAACACAAACCTACGCAGTCACCAAGGTCGACCTGCCGCTGCCACTCTACAAGAAACTCACACTTAACACCCACCGACTCGCCTCACCGTTGGAACATCCCTCTCATGCACTATACACTACAAAACCCGTTCCTTAAATCAACAGTTCGCCCAATTAATAACAGTGAACTTCCTTCCTAAATATATACTTTCAAAATAATGCACGTAGGAAAAAATCTCAGGTAAAATAAGTACGAGAAAGGAACACCCAAACACCTGTTTTCGCACCATTATTCTCTAAGCAACTGTGACGAAGGAGCGACTGTGTCCTTCCTTCGGTGATACATGACTCTGCCGCCGCGCGCGCAGGATGAATATTTAATGACGACCCAGATGGCGGCAAATATTGTAAAATGAGGAAGAAAAGAGCTGAGTGGATTGGAGGCCTTTCAGGGAACATCGGGTGTTTGAACATGTAATTACATTTACAACTTGAATAGAGGGATATGCAGTACACACACACACACACACACACACACACACACACACACATACACACACACACACACACACACATACATACACACACACACACACACACACACACACACACACACACACACACACACACACACATAAGGGGATATTAAAGATTTAATATTTAGGGGGTTATGAATATTAATATATTCAGGGATAAAGAAAGAATGGTCTATATCGCATATCTTCTTAGTACTATTATCGTAAAACATGATTTGTTATTGATTATTTTTGTGAAAGTTTTTCAAGGCACGGAAAGTTTATAACGCGAAGGACTCTGTGGAAATATATATTCAATATACTCGTTAATGTTGAGCTAATGTTATCCAATTTATACACAATTACAATAAACTATGTAACGCAACGCCTTCCAGAAGCCACACATTGACTATTACACTTCGGTCTTGGATGCTGACAAAGCTGTTGTATATGTATTAACCTCACTAATCTTACCCATTTTTCTCTTTACTCACATGTAGAATGAAAACTTCTACTTTACTAACACAACGTATCTTGACGATTTTCTTCTTTAGCGTCACAAGGTAATCAGTAATATATGCAGTTGTCAAAAGTTGATCAGAAATATATAGTGTTTATGGATCAACCACAAAACTACCGAACTGATAACAACTCATTCGGACATTAATAGCCAATACATTTGTCTCATTTCCTGTAACACAATGCATCATCAGTATTTCATGAGATTCTATTATCCTGCAAATCTGTTCCCTCGAAATTCTGTTGTCATCTGCTGCCCAAAGTGACTTATAGCTGAAAAAAATCCAAATCTGAAACTAAAACATCAGACAATTATCCTTGAACTTACACTGGAATAATAATGATAATACTAATAAAGATATAATGCTAGTGATAATAATAATGATAATGGTTATAATAATAATAATAATAATAATAATAACAATAATAATAATAATAACAACAACATCAACAACAATGATAGTAGCAGTAATCATTGAAAAAATAATAATGATAATAATAACAACGATAACAACAACAATATAAACTCACATGACATTGGCAATATGCAAATGGAACAAATTACCTGAGAAGTTAGTCATCTTGGATACTATCAACATAACTCGATCTCTTACTCGAAGGGAAAGCGAGAGGAAGGACATGATTACCGCGCCATTTAGAAAATAACAAGACTTATTTCTTGCACACAGAAGAAACGGAAAGAAGAAATTAAAGAGGGCGGAGGAAAAACATCATTTTAAATTTCGGTAAAACATCACCCGCACGTACAACATTGTATCTGATCCTTTGATACGGAATCCAAACACAAACGAACACCTTTTCCAGAAGTGACGAGAGTGGGTTATGGCGAAGGGCGTGGAGTTAGGAAGTTAAGCGATAGGTTGCAGACCAGTTCTTAATTGGGTTCCAGGTTCTGACTCCCCGAGGAAATGCTAGGCGGGGTCCGTTAACAGGTTCTCTTCTTGGGGTTCGCATGAGCCGAAACCGACGCTTCAGATGACATGTTGTTTATGCTTTGATTTAATACTTGCACCAAATTCATACTGTTTGAAGAAAGTGAGATACTACAGTAGTTCCTGGTTGATTATCTTTATTGTTAACTGTAGTATACACATTGTCTATATTTACAAGCACACACACACACATATATATATAAATGTATATATATATATATATATATATATATATATATATATATATATATATATATATATATATGTATATGTATATATATATAAGTATATTGCGCGGGTGCATATATGCGTACACGTACACAAATACACACACACACACACACATATGGTAGAAAAACCCAATGTAAAAACTAGATTTATTGAAGATGAGACAACAGTTTCGGAATCCACCTGGATTCCATCCTCAGGATGGAATCCAGGTAGATTCTGAAACTGTTGTCTCATCTTCAATAAATCTAGTTTTTACATTGTGGGGTTTTCTACCATAGTATCAACACGGTAGAGTGTTTTCATCATACACACACATATAAATATTTACATATATATGTATGTAGGTAGATAGGCAGTTATGTATGTACAACTATATATATATACATACACACACACACACACACACACACACACACACACACACACACACACACATATATATATATATATATATATATATATATATATATATATAAAGTATGTGTGTGTGTGTGTATTTGTACATGCATACCTGCCTAACTACATTCATATATATATATATATATATATATATATATATATATATATATATATATATATATATATATATGTATATATATATATATATATATATATATATATATATATATATATATATATATATGTATATATATGTACACATATATACATAATATATAATATATAATATACATATATATATATATATATATATATATATATATATATATATATATATACACACACACATATATATAATATATAATATAACATATATGTATATATATATATATATATATATATATATATATATATATATATGTGTGTGTGTGTGTGTGTGTGTGTGTGTGTGTGTGTGTGTGTGTGTGTGTGTGTGTGTGTGTGTGTGTGTGGTGTTTGTGTGTGTGTGTGCGTACAGACAGATGTATGTATGTATGTATATATATATATATATATATATATATATATATATATATATATATATATATATATGTGTGTATATATATATATATGTATATATATATATATATATATATATATATATATATATATATATGTATATATATATGTGTGTGTGTGTGTGTGTGTGTGTGTATGTATGCATATATATATACACAATAACAATACTGTAGGCAATAACAATTGCACTCCCTTGTACTCCATGCATCATTGTTTCATAGTTTCATCTTCTGCTTCAACCACATTCTTTCCTTTCATTTATTGGTCGTCAACATCAAAGCAAAACAGAAGACCATATCAAGTTTTTACTCGGTATGTATTTGTTTGCCTTTTAGATTTTGGGGTATATTTTCATACCTTAATATATTTTTTTCTCTCTCTCTCCAACAGAAAAGTTTTTTTTTTCTCTATACGATTTTAGGGCATATTTCATATTTTTGTATTTTTTATCTTGGGTATGCTATTTTTATTTTGGACATGCTATTTCCCGTCCGCTAATTTGGGGATAGCCATTTCCAAACTGTGGAGATGAGGTATGCCTTTTCCCTTCAGCGGAATAAATAAATAAATAAATATTTTCTTCCTCCCATCTTCGACA